TAGAGCCTCGTTTGAATACTCTGCTTGAAAGGCAAAAGACATCTGCCTCAACTTCAATCAAGGAAAAATAGACCAACTGTACAGCAGGCAGAATCCATGATGACTGGAATTTTGTCTATCAATGGATGTAATTAATCCTTTGGCTTGAGGGCAATAGAATTTTGTCCTAAAGTAGCAGATCCTACGCCATCAAACCACAACTCAACTGGGAGTAAATGCAAACATGTATCTATATTGAGAGATAGATTTTACTCTGATTAGAAAGATGAAGGAGGGTTTTGGGGATAAGCAATATGAAAATTGCTGAGCAGAGCTGAGCCAGCCAGAAGTAAAAGTGATAGCAAGAGAAACTCAGGCAGATGCAACGGCAGAGTAAAATAGCTATACCAGGGGTGTGATGGGGCCTGAGGGGAGCATGGTGTGGAGACAGACAGGTGCAAGGGACCAAGTAGTGGGAGGACCAGAACACTGAGAATGTTGCCAAACTGTAGCAAATGAGTAAATGTAATTAGCATAGCCTCAGCAATGACAATAACGATCATATTCTGAAAAACACTATTGGTCTCTGGGTAAAATGGCTTGAAGCCCCGATAAGGGTGACATTCTATGTCATAACAAATATTTTTGGAATGGACTTGACCAACAATCTAGAGATTTTCTTTCAGTTGACCAACGACTTTGATTTCCAAAGGCGGAGTTACTTTTGTGAACCCCGAAAATTTGAGACAGGTCTCAGTTAATTTAGAAAGTTTATTTTGCTAAGGTTGAGGATGTGCACCCATGACACAACCTCTGGTCCTTATGACATGTGCCCAAAGTGGTCAAAACAGTTTGATTTTATACATTTTAGGAAGACATGAGACATCAATCAACGTATGTAAGATAAACATTGGTTCAGTCTGGAAAAGCGGGACAACTCAAAGTGGAGAAGGAGCTTCCAGGTCAGAGCTAGCTAAAAGACAAATGGTTGCATTCTTTTGGGTTTCTAATTAGCCTCTCCATAGGAGGCAATCAGATACGCATTTATCTCAGTGAGCAGAATAATTACTTGAATAGAGTGAGAGGCAGGTTTGCTGTAAGGAGTTCCTACCTTGACTTTTCCCTTTAGCTTAGTGATTTTGGGGACCCAAAATATTTTCCTGTTATGCTCTGGATAAATAAGTGTGATCCTGCAAGGAATAACAAAAATTATTCTGCTTATATATTCTTAAAGGATACATTAATGTCTCCGTGATCATCATTCACCTTTCACAACACCTAGCAAAATACTCAATAAATTTGGGCTGAAAACAAAATCACCAGCTCGTCTTGCGCTACTCCTCTTTCTATCTCTTGCATTAGTGTTTGCACCAAATAAACCCTCACTCTGCATATTTCCTTTCTACTTAGAAGCTAAGGAAGGACGTGCTAGCACAATTTGATCCATACTTCTGAATAAAAAATAGCCAGAGGTAAAGTTATTCTTTGGTCAAATGACAGAGATTGCAGCTAATATATAAATGAGATCATTTTTAAAAGTTACACTATAGGTCTCAAGAATATAACTGTTAGACAATTGATATGGGATATGTGAGAATAGGCTACAGGAAGTCTTTACGCATAAAGCCAAGACAGATCAAGTTTATCTGTTAACTTCATCCAGTAAGATTTAACTGGCCAGGCACAGTGGCACATTGCTATAATCCCTGCACTTTGGGAGGCCAAGGCGGGCAGATCACTTGAGCCCAGGAAGTTCAAGACCAGCCTGGGCAACATGGTGAACCCAATCTCTACAAAAAATACAAAAATTAGCGAGGCATAGTGGCGTGTGCCTGTAGACCCAGCTACTCAGGAGGCAGAGGTGGAAGGATTGCTTGAGCCCGGGAGGTTGAGGCTGTAGTGAGCCAAAGATCACACCACTGGACTCCAGTCTGGATGACAGAGAGATATTCTGTCCCATTAAAAATTTTTTTAATTTAATCATGCTCTGCAATTCTTTAAAAAACAAAAACGGATTTTTTAAGATCATGCAACAACTCTCAGATGCACTGAGAAACAAGAAGAGAACTACCAAGATCATTTTTATTTTTTACTTCCAGGGAGAGTACCATTCTTCAGGCATGGAGAGAACCCTTCTAAGCTGGTATAAACAACCCGAGTGTTATCTAAAACTAGTCTCCTGTTGGTAAATATTAGCTTTGTAGTTTTTACTTTGTTTATTTCAAATCCTGAATAAACAACCTTCAGTTAGTGGGACAGTGATTTTCAAACACCACTGCATGTCAGAATTTTCTGCACAGCTTGATAAACATGTAACTACCTAGACTCAATTCTATTAAATCTCCCAGGAAGATTAAAAAGAATGCTGATGCCTGACCTCATCCTAGATCAACTGAATCAGAATATCTAAGGATAAGACCCAGGCACTGGTATTTTCTAAAAGAACCCACATGAGATTCTGAGGTGCAAACCTGGGTTGAGAATTCCTGCCCTACTGAGTCTAATTTAGCAGACAGGGTTAAGGCCCAGGCCTCTCCATATTTAATAGATGTCACAAATGATTCAGACCTATGGCCTTTGGATCTTATTCTTAAAAACCATGGCCTAGGTCACACCAAAGATCTAGATAATGCCAAAGCTCTATGAATTGATGACTCTCAAAATGGGCACACTTCACTTCTCCTTTGACTTTTTTTTATTGTAACACTACCTCTTAAATAAAATTTGGCCTGCATCATAAGGAGGGAGGATTACTTTATTTATTTATTAGAGATGAAGTCTTGTGATGTTGCCCAGGCTGGTCACAAACTCCTGGCCTAAGTAAGTACTCCTCCTGCCTAGGCCTCCCAAAGTGCTGGGATTATAAGCACGAGCCACACTGCACTCGGCAAAAGGATTATCTTAAATCGGACAACAAGATTTCTTAACTGATTACAAATGATTAAAGGTAGAAAATGTGTTATATTAGGGCAAAAGGTGATTTTCATCTGCATGTAGTATCAGTATCAGAATCCCATAGCAAATAATTGCATTTTTGAGAAAAAAAATAAAAAATTCGTATCTAATAAAAATCAGCTTTAGAAATAAGCTTTAATTCAGAAAACACTATATTAAATTATAATTAACATTTAAAAACTACTTAAAATAGCCAAGGGAGTAGATACCAGGAGAGTCACAGCAGCATTATTTTTAAGCAGAAAAATAATCAAAAACTTAAATGTCTTAAAATGTCTATTCAAAAGGAAACTCGCTAAATAAAATATTATATATAGTTAAATATAAATTAATGTTAATCTATAGAGAACAGACACTAAAAAGAATGCTGCTGCTCTCTATATGTTAATTTTTTTAATCTTCAAGATATATCTGAAAAACAGAAGCCAATGGCAGATACGTAAGTAGTATAAAGCCATTTGTGTTTTTAAAAATAGGTCTGTATGACAATCTATGAGATTTCTCTGGAAAGATACACAATAAATAGATCATCGTGATTTCCTCCAGGGCAGGAAAGAAACTATGTGGCTGGGAAAAGGAGACTTTCTCCACTAATAGTCCTTTGGCCCTTTGGGATTTTTGTACCATTTGAATTATTCAATCAAAATTTTTAAAAATAAAAGATCAACTATAAACTCTAAGTTTTAAAGTGCATCTTTATGCAAGCAAACCCTGGTATATAGTATCATTCAATAAATGTTTGTTGATTAAATAAACCTGTTACCTTATTCCTCTTCTACAATTCAGTCACTCAATCTCCTCTTCCCTTGGTGTTCAGGGGGGGAGGAGCAGTCAGAGGATAACTAAAGTTTCACATAATCTGCCTTAGTGCTTTTGCGGGTGCTAAGGGTGTGCTAAGCATTATGCTAAATAACGTATTGACTCATGTACATCATCTCAGGTAATTCTACAACATCCCTGTGAAGCAAGTATTAACTCTCTTTTACGGATGAGAAAACTGAGGCTCAGAGAGCTCACTGCAAGCTCAAGCAAATTGCATTTTATACACACATTCGTGCATGCATACACACATGCACACACACACACAAAGAAATCCTTTTTTTGGAGAAAGTCTCACCCTATCGCCCAGGCTGGAGTGCAGTGGCACAATCTCGGCTCACTGCAACCTCTGCCTCCTGGGTTCAAGCAATTTTCGTGCCTGAGCCTCCCCAGTAGCTGGGATTGCAGGCGTGCACCACCATGCCCAGCTAATTTTTGTATTTTTAGTAGAGACAAAGTTTCACCATGTTGGCCAGCATGGTCTTGAGCTCCTGATCTCAAGTGATCCACCCATTTCAGCCTCCCAAAGTGCTGGGATTACAGGTGTGAGCTACCATACCTGGCCACAGAGAAACACTTCTAAAATATGTGCAAAATGGTATGCGGACTATGAAGATCAATATATACTCTGCCCTTCAAAAGGGTCATAGTGAGGGAAACATTTACGTGTGATATTACTATGATACAAGCCAAGAGTGATACCATGTGGCAACTTTAAAGGGAAGAAATCCCCCAGGAAAGAGAAGGAAGGACTCAAGGAAGCCTTCACAGAGGAAGACATGATTAAGTAGGACTTGGAAAGCAGAGATCAGGAGAAGTCATGTAAATCATGTGTTCAGCACTATGCCAAGTGCTTTGTATACACTATCATATTTTATTATTTTAATCATAACAATTCTAAATAATATGGTTCCCAATTTTAGATGACTAAACCAAAACCTAAAGAAGAAATTTCCCCAAACGTTCTAGTTCACATTTAATGTCTCCTTACTCCCTACTGGCCTCCGCTTTCAGGGATTTATATAACTTGTGGCTGTGCATGCATACGTATGAGTGTGTGCACGTGCACGCACACACACACATTCCTTAACTCTAATGCAAGTATAAACTGCTTGAGACAGGAACCTTTGGTCCATATTTCTTTAATATGCCCTCATTATATGATTACATAGTAGATGCCGAGATATGGCAACATATTAGTGCCAAACTAAGTCTGTATAACCACCCATGTTTTTTTTTTTGTAAAGGCTTTATGACAGCAGATGAAAGGAAATTATTCAACCACCTCAAATCTCCTCATCTGAAATATTGGGTTCCATTCATCTGGTTTGGAAATCTTGCAACTAAAGCCCGGAATGAAGGTAGAATCAGAGACAGTGTTGATCTGCAATCATTGATGACTGTAAGTATATCATAAACCATAAGAAAAAGATGCTAATTAGAGACCAAGAGTGACCTGGATATAACACGTTAGACCAGGAAGAGTCAGCTTAGTTCAGTCCTGGTTCCAAAGGAACCGGAAAGATTGGACCAGTGTCAGAACCCTCACCATGCAGGACAGAGGTGGCACATAGGTTAAACTCAGGCTGCTTGGAAATGGTTGCTTGGATGCTACATTTTAAACAAAATCATGCTTTCTAATAGGCTCTGTAAGAAAGTATTCCTTGATTGATTAGTTAAGAGTCGCCAAAGGCTCAGAAGGCTATGGTGCCCATGTGGCTTATTTGCCATCCCTGGATCCAGGATCATAGAATAAATTCTGGAGGAGAAATAAACCTCCCCAGCCATTTCCCCAAAACTGGAATATCGTGAGATTTAGCCAACTTTTTAGATACTCTAGTAAGTAAAATAGTATTTTCATTAAACAAAATAACCCTGAATTCATCTGGAAAAAAAAAAAAACAAATTTACGTAAGGGTTGGATATATTTGTACCATGACAGTCCCCTGCCTGGATTAGGCTAACGGGAATGAATTATTTAAAAGTAGTGCCCAGATTAATGTGAACTCTTTTCCCTAGTCTTACATAATAACTTGTATGAAACTGATTTTTTAAAAAATCAAAGAATCCTGCCCTTCCTGCTTCAGAGATAGATTTTCTATCAATATGAGTGTTATAAAGTCTCCATTCACGGGAGGAAACAGGTGTAATTATAGCTCTTTTCTAAGATCTATAATAAGCATGTTTTAAAATGAGAGAAACAAAAAAAATTGCTTTCTAGATTATCTACCAAAATTGACAAAAAATTACTTATTTAAAATACCATTTCCTTATCATCATGACTTTGGGCCAATATATATGTTGAAAATTATAGGCTCAAAAGAATGGTGAAGAGGGATACTTTTACGAAGTCCTTTTTTGTTTTGGAAATAGTGTGTCATTCTGTCCAGGCTACATGCAGCACAGTGGCACGATCATGGTTCACTGCAGCCTTGACCTCTTGTGCTCAGGTGACCCTCCCATCTCAGCCTCTGGAGTAACTGAGATTACAGGCACATGCCATCAAGCCCAGATAATTTATTTATTTTTTGTAGAAACAATCTCTATGTTGCCCAGGCTTATCTCAAACTCCTGGGCTCAAGTGATCCTCCTGCCTCAGCCTCCCAAAGTGCTGGGATTATAGGCATGAGCCACTGCACCCGGCCATTACTTATTTTAAATTTTTTTTAATGTCCAAATATACTCATCAATGAACACATTGTTCCGATGATATTCATTGATTGATTATCATTTTTAGAACTCTCCTTTTGGAGTATCCTTGGGAACCAATTTGCTAGACTTACGGTCAGTCCCGCTGTTTTACAGACATTCATAAAAGACATGCTCATATTCTGAATTCCAGTAAATACTTATTACCACACCTGTCATCTTAGTAAATCATGTTAGATCTGTTTCTGGCTTAGGAAATGAATCGATTCCGCTCTTGGTGCAGCCTCTTATTCGGTTATGACTGGGTTGGGATTCCGCTGGTTTACACCCAGGTAAGAAATACTTTGCACGGAATTCTTTATCTCTACTGGCCCACCTTGGCACCATAGCTTCACTGTGGGAGGCCAGCACTGTCCCCTCACTCCAGTCTCTCTCTGTTCCAGGTGGTCACTCTTGCTGTCTATACCTTCTTCTTTACGTGCCTGATTGGACGCCAGTTTTTGGATCCCACCAAAGGCTACGCAGGGCATGACTTGGATCTTTACATTCCAATCTTCACCCTCCTACAATTCTTCTTCTATGCAGGATGGCTCAAGGTAGCCAATGGTCTCAGGGGCCCACTTTGTTATCTGTTACGCTCCAGACTCTCCACACGGATCCTTTACTGAGTCTTTAGCAAATCACTCATGAGTGAGTCAAAGGTAGATTTAACATGCAATAGGTCCGCAATGTTATCACACTTCCGCAAGGGATTCAAGTGGCAGGGAGATAGTCAGTCCTGTCTGAAGCAGCTCATTTGTGCAAAGAGATTAGAAGAACACTCTTTCATGGCTATTGATTCTCTTTTAAGTCTCTATGTATTCCCATTAGGATTACATTATTGTAATTACTAAATTAATAAGTGTACCTGCATTGATATTATATACCACAATAAGCAACCGAGCAGAGTAAAGGAGTAAACAAGAAGCCTTGTAAATCAGACTTAACCATTAATATTGCAGTAGAATCTTGGTTCTGCTCAACTCTATAGATAGTTACTGCAATTCCCTGAAATTCTGCTAGCTGTCCCACAACATTCAATGTACCCCATTTTTAAAACCAGAACTGAGACTCAGAAAATAATTCATCAGAATCAAAACCAGAAACACCAGAAATAATGACAACATGGTTTGCCAGGAAATTAAACAGGTTCAGGCTGTGAGAATGGCTTGTCTAATTTTCTGTGTAGAATTTTTCTTGCTCCCCATCCCTTCACCACCACCTCCTCAAATGTATGTGTGTAAATATCAGAGACCCGATTCTTCCATCACCTCTATAAACTTCCAAATGGAAAGTATGCAATAGAAAAAAATCAATGACAATGGCTTCATTAAGTTCATTGAAATGTAATTATGGTATGAAGATGATGTTCCTAAAATAGAATTTTTGGCCGGGCACAGTAGCTCATGCCTGTAATCCCAGCACTTTGGGAGGTCAAGCGGGCAGATCATGAGGTCAGGAGTTCAAGACCAGCCTGACCAACATGGTGAAACCCCAGCTCTACTAAAAATACAAAAATTAGCCAGGTGTGGTGGTATGTGCTTGTAATCCCAGCTACTCAGGAGGCTGAGGCAGGAGAATTGCTTGAACCAGGGAGGCAGAGGTTGCAGTGAGTTGAGATGGTGCCACTGCACTCCAGCCTGAGTGACAGAGTGAGACTCTGTCTCTAAATAAATACATAAATAAATAAAGTAGAATTTTCAAATGTTTGGCCTTCCCAAAAGCCATATGTTGTCAAGCCCTGATGATGTATCCAGGTTGCAGTGAAATTTTCCCTGCAGAAGTCGTTCCTTTCATTGATTTGAATCTTAACCAAGAAAAATAATATGTTGACATTTCAAATTATACGCCAAAGAGTAAAGGCACGTCCCTTACAAATGGAAGCATTTTAAATCATATTACCATGATTCTTAATGATTTCTACCTGCTTAAGAAAAAGAAATCACAAGAGACTAATGACTTTCATTTCCCATCAGAGGAAAAAGTAGACGTTAGCTTTATAAATATAAAATCACCACAGTGGCCCAAATCCTCTATCATTCTCAAAAAGTACTTTTCATCCTTTCCCGAGTTGCACCGAGCTTTTTATTCTTTATTTTGTGTCCATGTAAGGTGCCTGACCAGCCTGTAAAGAGCAGATAATGGTTCCTTCCTTCTGACATGCTTTCTAAAATACTAACATCCTTTTCCTTTATAAAATGTTTTAAGTCAGGCATGGTGGCTCACGCATAACCCCAGCACTTTGGGAGGCTGAGGTGGGAGGATTGCTCAGGAGTTCAAGACCAGCCTGGGCAACACGGCGAAATCCTATCTCTACAAAAAAAAAAATGCAAAAACTTAGCCAGGTGTTGTGATGCATGCCTGCAGTCCCACCTACCTGGGAGGATGAGGTGGAAGGGTCGCTTGAGTCCAGGAGGCCAAGGTTGCAGTGAGCCATATTCATACCACTGCACTCCAGCTGGGTAACAGAATGAGACCCTGTCTAAAATAAAATAAATCTTAAAAGACAAAATATTAAAAGGCACAATCTTAGCTCCATTAAAAGATAGGCAAACTTGCTGGGCGCAGTGGTTCATGCCTGTAACTCCAGAACTTGGGAGGCCAAGGCAGGTGAATCACCTGAGGTCAGGAGTTCGAGACCAGCCTGGCCAACATGGTGAAATCCCATCTCTTCTAAAAATACAAAAAATTAGCAGGGCATGGGGATGGTCGCCTGTAATCCCAGCAACTCAGGAGGCTGAGGCAGGAGAATCACTTGAACCCAGGAGGTGGAGGTTGCGGTGAGCCGAGATTGTGCCATTGCCCTCCAGCCCGGGCAACAGAAGCAAAACTCCATCTAAAAAAAAAAAAAAAAAGATAGGCAAACCTAAACACCAGTGGATTGTGCCTCCATTTCTAAACAGCTTTTCTATCTCAACAATTAGGATATTTATAAATATTTTCAACATGTAGAAAAGCAACTTAACCTTGTGAATAGTATATTACTCAGTTACTTGCTGAAAATGCAGCCCCCAGTGAAGAAAAAGATATATTTTCAGACTGTCAATTCAGAAACATGCATGCCATTTTGTCAATTTAATGCGGACTATGATAATACATGCAGGATTGATCGTATAAAAATGAAAATCTAGATAGAATTCAAAAAGATTTCAGGACTCAATCAGTACCCTGAATTAATCTATGCAAATCTCCAGGCAAGAAAGGACAGATAATATTGATCAAATATTAAAAGATATGTAATAATAGCTACCTAACCTTTTCCCAGCAGGAAAACTAACTTACTAGGTAAGGGTAAATCCTTTAGGGTAAAACTAAGTAAGCCTCAATTTCCAGCTTTAGGACTTACTAGCTCTCTGACTCATTTACTTAGCAATTATGTTGAGTAATTTGAAAGTTCGGCCAGGCACAGTGGCTCATACCTGTAATTCCAACACTTTGGGAGGCTGAGGAGGGCAGAACACCTGAGCTCAGATGTTCAAGACCAGCCTGGTCAACATGGTGAAACCCCATCTCTACTGAAAAAAATAAAAATAAAAAAATTAGCTGGACGTGATGGTGTTTGCCTGTAGTCCTAGCTACTCAGGAGGCTGAGGCAAAGATCGCTTGAACCTGGGAGGCACAGGTTACAGTGAGCCAAGATTGTGCCACTGCACTCCAGCCTGGGTAACAGAGCGAGGCACAGTCTCAAAATAAACAAATAAATAAATAAATTGTGAAAGCCTCTTATATTATTTTCTTTAATTGTGATTTAAGTCTTCCTTCGCTGTTTAACCTTCTCCCTGTGTACATTTTGTCTTATCATCTGGTCCCTGTAAATTCCCTGGAAGCATAGCCTGTGTATCCTTCAGAGTGCCTTGCAAACTGTTGGTGCTCCTTCACTATTCAGTCATTTGATTTGCCTCCGAAATAGGACATGGCTTCCCCGATAGGGCCTGCATTGCTGCTAGTTGAATGTGCAGATCCCTTTGGAGAGCATACCTGTGAAGGTGCATCATTGGTGATTTGCAAATCACGTCTTTCTTGCTAATAAGTATCTGGGTAGAACAATCTACTCTCCTCTACTCTTCATATTTTGAAAGTCACAAAAGGAAGCAGAGAGGAAAACTGGAATCATCTTCAGTCTCTATTCTTAGTCTTCAGAGGTTTCATGATGGGTTTATTTTATCTTTTCAACTACAGGTAGCTGAGCAGCTTATCAACCCTTTTGGAGAAGATGATGATGATTTTGAAACTAATTGGTGCATTGACAGAAATTTGCAGGTTAGAGGAATTTTTCTTTCTTTTTCAAATATTAATAATAAATCACTTGTGATATTTCAACTCTAAGCAGATTTTAGATACACACCCCTTGACTTCAGAGCTTTAGCCACAAACGAAAGAGGCTTGGCTGTACACTATGCTGTCTCAGGTCCTTCTGGAAGCTTACACATCTGGGATTTCAGCTTCAGTGAGATTTAGGTCCTTTTAAGTAGAATTTCAAGCCAGTTTTCTTTGTAAGTCTCTCTGTTGGCTTTTTCTATCCTCTTACATCTCAGCATAGAGCAGTATTTTTAATTGTTCTTTAGTTGGTTTTCTATTGCAAACCAGAGAGGTTAAAAGTGACTTAAAATGGCATCTAGACACAATCTGGTACGAGTTCCCAAAGTCACATCAATCCCAGCAGTCAGATAGCCAACAGCTGGACACTGGGAACCTGAGCCACGCCAGCCTGTGTCTCAAATCTGCATGAAATGCACTATTCCAGAGAGCTTTTGGTGAAGAATCAGCATGAAGGAATTTTCCCTTTAGGCAAGACCCTCCTCAGACCATTCTCTTCCCTATGAACCGCAGACGAGTAAAGGCCTTCACCTTGTTCATTTGTTTCAAGCCCTTACTCAGCTGTTAAATAAGTTCAAACATCTCACAGTAGATCTCAGTGTCAGTCTTTTAGGGAGAACACATAATGGCTAGGTCACTCACTTTGTCAAAATGGGATTCCAGAGGATTAATAATTTATTCATGCATCACTTTGTCAAAGCCAAGAGGAGAGATCACTATAGCGCTAAGCAGTACAGACTTTGTTTTTCCAAACAAAGAAATGAATAAGAAACCAGGGCATATAAGAAGTGATGTCAAGTAAAAATGTGTTTACGGGGTAAACAGAATGAAAGCTGGAATCTTCACCTTCCTGTAATATTTGGGGTTAAGCGGATGCTATCAGGTAAAACAACACCATAATTGTGAGCAAAGAATAAAAAGATGTCTCTTCTCCCTCCAGATAAGAGGCAGCTCTACTCTGGAGCACGTGGCTTAATCCCAGAGTGTGGGAGGCTTTAAGCCCCATTTACCCTCACTGCCAAGTGCTCTTGAGCAGTAAACAACAGATACAACTGTCTGCAGCAGCTGTGGTCATGGCAAATGTGAATTATAGACATTTGTATATTCACTCACTTAGACTGTGTCCTGGCTCACTCTAATGCTCATCTGCCCACAGGAACTTCTCCTTTTTATTGAACTTCTCCTTTTTACATCTGAGTTATTCTAACAATATAACAATGATTTTAGGTCTCTCTTTTAGCTGTGGATGAAATGCACATGAGCTTACCCAGGATGAAGAAGGACATTTACTGGGACGATTCTGCGGCTCGCCCGCCATACACATTGGCAGCTGCGGACTACTGCATTCCCTCGTTTCTGGGGTCAACAGTCCAGATGGGGTAAGTGCAGTTTTTAAAAAATCTCCAATATTTTCCAGCCTGAGTAACATAGTGAGACCTTGTCTCTACAAAAAAAAAAAAAAAAAAAAAAAAAAAATTAAGTAGGCAGCTGTCATGGCACCCATAGTCTTAGCTTCTTGGGGAGGCTATAGTCGGAGGATTGTTTAAGCCCAGGGATTCAAGGCTGCAGTGAGCTGTGATTGTACCACTCCACTCCAGCCTGGGCAACAAAGTGAAAACCTGTCTCAAGAAAAGTAATTAATTAATTAAAATTAAAATTAAGGGTAGGCATGGTGGCTCACACCCGTAATCTCAGCACTTTGGGAGGCCAAGGCGGGCAGACCAGAAGGTCAGGAGGTTGAGACCATCTTGGCCAAAATGGAGAAACCCTGTTTCTACTAAAAACACAAAAATTGCCAGGTGTGGTGGTGGGCACCTGTCATCCCAACTACTCAGGAGGCTGAGGCAGAAGAATTGCTTGAGCCTGGGAGGCGGAGGTTGCAGTGAGCTGAGACCGCACCGCTGCACTCCAGCCTAGGCAACAGAGGGAGACTCTGACTCAAAAAAAATTAATTAACTAAAATAATTATCTCCAATATTTAGGAAATGAGCAGGTAGATAACTGTTCTAATCTTTGTACCTTTTTTTGACATTTTTTCTACCTGGGCTTAGTACGTAAGTCAGTCTCTGTTTAGTGGTTTTAACATAGCAATCACTCCAATGTATCATGAGCCTTAAGTAAATGAGTTGAGGCCTGAAGTGAATCAGGCACAGTTCTAGAATAATTTTATTAAGTCTGATCATGTATTTGATATTGGAGAAGTGTGTGAATGTGGGAGAAGTTTAAGTATATTTACCAAAGGCAAATGCCACAGTTTCCAAGTAAATTAAAGATAAAAACGCAAATTTAGAAAGTAAGAAACTCTCCACTCAAAAAAAAAAAAAAAAAAAAAAAAAAAAAAAAAAAAAAAAAAACTGTAGCAAAAGAGAAACTTTTTCTTAAAATTCTTTTTTTTTTTTTTTTTTTTTTTGAGACGGAGTTTCGCTCTTGTTACCCAGGCTGGAGTGCAATGGCGCGAATCTCGGCTCACTGCAACCTCCGCCTCCTGGGTTCAAGCAATTCTCCTGCCTCAGCCTCCTGAGTAGCTGGGATTACAGGCACACACCACCATGCCCAGCTAATTTTTTGTATTTTTAGTAGAGACGGGGTTTCACCGTGTTGATTAGGATGGTCTCAATCTCTTCACCTCGTGATCCACCCGCCTTGGCCTCCCAAAGTACTGGGATTACAGGCTTGAGCCACCGCGCCTGGCCTCTTATAATTCTTGACAAGACTGTGGCTCATTGTTCCGAGGCCTGCTCTAAGCGGATTTGCGCAGTGGGCTCATGTCCCGTGGTTGCCACCTGTGACCCTTCTTTCCCTCCTCCCTGAAGTGGCCTGCCTTCCCCCTTCCATGTTCAGGAGATCTCAGCTCTAACCCTATTCCCGCTGAATGTCTCCTAATCCCCATCAATGATGGTTTGCGGCATTCCTCTTCCAAAGGGGCGTCTGAGGCTGAAAACCTTTCAAGACCCAAATAAAAGGAAGACTGAAAGTGAATTTCAGTAGTTGTGGCAAATAATGAGAAAAATTTAGGAGCCAGGAGATTTGCCTTGTTGCCTGCAAAACACATCTTAGAGAAGGTTGCCTACTCCAGGCTAGACTTGCTTCTGCTTCTATGTACCCTTCTAAATCCAGACCCAGCCACCCAGGGCTCCTTCCAGGCCAGGGAACTCATCCCTGCCCCCAATATATTCTCAGTGTCCCTGGCTAGTAATCACTTGTGGTATGCATGTCCCAGCATTGGGATACCTTCTGCAGGGGCAGAGCTTCATGGACATCCAGCACTCTTAGCAATTTTTGGAATTAATAAGAGCTGTTTTTCTGTGAGTTTGATTTTTAGATAATTAAATATGCTTTATCCCTCTTCTCACTGCCACCATTGATTAATGCAAAATACTTGATGATTTAACTTGAAAAGAGACCAACAATATTGGTAGAATCAGGGTGTCATTGTGATGGCTCTATTTAGACAGCAGATGCTCCACACGCTCTATTTCTAACATTCACTGAATTGTTCTTGCTCCATGGTTAAGACGATTTTTCAAAGGTCTTAAGATTTTTATCCTGATCTACTTACTCATCCTAATCATCAAAATTCTGCAGATTACTACATAAATGTCCACGTTCCTTAGAAAATATTAAAACACATGTTTCTCCTATTTCTAAATACAGAAACAGAATTAGGGATTGACAAGATCTCAGAGAAAATTTCTTCCCCAAAAGATTATTGGGAAGATTAGATGAGATTGTAAACATTAAAATGTTCCAGATAAAACAAGAGAGCGTGACGATGATTATCACCTAGTCAAGTCTTACTTGTGGTTGTCAAACTGAAGCAGAAAAAGATTAAATAAGTTAAAGCTATTTTTCATATTAAACTTATCCTGGAAATTTAGGACAGAAAATAAAACAACTGAGAGAAAACCAGGAGGTACAATATTTAAAAGTGCAGCAAAAAATTATCAATTGTCAGGGAGAAGTCCTCCAACTAAAATGGCCTATTCACCAGCAGAGCGGAGAGAGGAAGAGACAAGGGCGTTTTGATGACAGCGTTTTGTGAGAGGTTGAACTGGATCTGCTAGAACCAACTGACCAAAGAAACAATTAGGCAAAAGCTCACTTGATCTTGATTTTCTGTATGAATGAGGACCATTTCAGTGGACCACAATCCAGGAACATTTACTGCAGGAACATAGGAGATTGGAAGCCCTGAGTTGATAGAAACATCCCCCTTTGGATTTATTAGTGTCTATTTTTCCTATGATTGTGGTATTAGACAAAATGTTTCTGGTTGCCTATGACAGAAAAACAAATTCACATACAGAATGCACTCATTTATTTATTCAGGTGAATGTTTTTCAGAGGTAGGTTCTATGCCAGATGCTAGAGGTAGTCCAAAAAAGAAAAGAAAAAGCACCTCCTAAGCTCACAGACATAAGGAGAAAGAAGTGACGATACAATGTGGTAAACGCAACAGTGCAGAAATGCTCAGCCTTGTGGAATACACGCAGTGATACACTTCGCCCAGCCTGATGAAGCAGAGAAAGCCTCTTGGAGTCGGGGACTCTAATATGCATCTTTAAGAATGAGTTAGGAGGCGGGGCGTGGTGGCTCACACCTGTAATCCCAGCACTTTGGGAGGCTGAGGCCGGTGGACCACTAGAGGTCAGGAGTTCAAGACCAGCCTGGCTAACACGATGAAACACTGTCTCTACTACAAATGCAAAATTAGCCGAGCATGGTGGTGCAGCCTGTAATCCCAGCTACTCAGGAAGCTGAGGCAGGAGAATTGCTTGAACCCAGGAGGCAGACGAGGTTGCAGTGAAACAAGATCGTGCCTTTACACTCCAGCCTGGGCGACAAGAGCAAAACTCCATCTCAAAAAGAAAAAGAAAAAGAGAAAAAGAATGAATTAGGAGCCAGCGCACAGGTAAGATTGAGGGGATTCAACAGAGGGCACATTTCAGGCCAATATGGGCAAAGATAGAAAGGAATGATAAATAGTATACTCAGGGTAACAATTTGATAGGCAGAGCAGAAGAGCCAAGAAATGAATCTTGGAGAGGAGGCAAGGACAGAAGATGGAGGCTTTATAGGGCGGTTAAAGGATTTCAGCCATTATTCAAAGCTATTAAATAACAGGGTCACATTGTTGCTTTAGAGAGATTAGCCTGGCGGCTGGCAGAAAGACGGAGAGCTGAGGATGAGACCAGAGCCAGAGTTAGCAGACCATTGTCGTTTAAACAGAAGAGGATAAGGGCCTGAGGCTGGTGTATCACAGGAGATGCAGACAGTAGAGATGACAGAAGGGACAGATTCAAGAAAGGAGAAAGAGTGAAAAACAGTAATAAACCAAAGATGATGGAGAGGTAAGGGTGGGAGCTGCTCTAAGGAAAAGATTATGAGCTCTCTGTTTTGCATGTGCTTAATTTGAGACCTCTGTAGGCAATTCATTTGGAGATGGCCAGCAGGCGGTAAGTCCAGAGACAGAAGATGCATTTTACTGATTATCAGTACGTAGAATCAGAGTGGGTGGGAGCACCCAGAACAGTGTCAAGGAAGCAGAGCAGAACAGGAAGGGTAGAATACTATCGCTGAAAGGGTGGTCAGAGGAAAAGGGTAGTCAGAGCAGGAACGGTCAATATAGATTCAGGGTAACCCAGAAAATGCCCTGCCAAAAGGCCAAAGGTACAAAGTTTCCTAATAAAGCCTGAAAAGCATGCCACAGGTTTTGCATGTTAGGGTCATCAGAGACTTAAGTGAGTATATGGGGCAGAAATTAAACTACAGTAGGTTAGAAGTGATTGACAGGTAAGAAGGTCAAGACTGCCAGTGTAAGCTGTTTTTTAAAAATAATTTTATTACGGAAAAGTTCAAACAGGGCCAGGCACGATGGCCCACGCCTGTAATCCTAGCACTTTGGAGGCCGAGGCAGGCATATCACTTGAGGCCAGGAGTTTAAGACCAGCCTGACCAACATGGTAAAACCCCCATCTCCACCAAAAATACAAAAATTAGTCGGGCATAGTGATGCATGCCTGTAGTTCCAGCTCTTTGGGAGGCTGAGGCAGGAGAATTGCTTGAACCCAGGAGAGAGAGGTTGCAGTGAGCCAAGACTGTGACACTACACTACAGTTTGGGCAACAGAGCGAGATCCTGTCTCAAAAAAATAATAATAATAATAAGTTTAAGCAGATCCAAAGGTAGAGAACAAGCTGTGATAAAGCCCCATGTACCCATCACTCACTTCAATGATGAAGTCATGGCCAGCCTTTTTTTGTTCCCCACCCACCTTTATCTTCCCTGCCATTTGATCATGGTAAAGCACATGGACCATAATACCATTGTCATACTTTAAAAACAAAAAGAAGCCGGGCGCGGTAGCTCACGCCTGTAA